GCTCAATTGGGGATTCCCCAATTGTCTGCTTTTCCAAAAACCTGGTATGTTTTAGTTATAGATATTAAAGATTGTTTTTTTATCAATTCCAATTCATCCTGAGGATAGTCCACGTTTTACTATCCCTGCACTGAATCATGAAGGTCCTGATCAGAGATATGAATGGAAAGTACTCCCTCAAGGGATGGCTAACAGCCCAACTATGTGTCAGATTTATGTTAACAAAGTAATCCAGCCACTTAGAAATCAAAATCCTGAACTACAAATATTTCACTATATGGGTGACGAATTATTAGCACACAAAGATAAAAACACATTGCTAGAATGTTATGCCACACTTACAAACTTATTAAAAAATTATAATCTAGAGATAGCAATAGATAAAGTACAATTACATTTTCCAATTAATTATTTAGGAGTTCTATTATCCTCAACCATGGTCCGTCCACCAAAAATTCAAATACGAGTAGATCAACTCAAATCACTTAACGACTTTCAAAAGTTATTAGGAGACATAAATTGGATAAGGCCTTATCTAGGCATATCAACAGGAGAGTTGGGACCTTTATTTGATATCCTAAAAGGTCCATCAGATCCAAATTCACCCCGAATGTTAACGCCTGAAGCAAGAAAGACATAAAAATCATTGAAACATATATGGAAAATATGCATTTGGATAGAATTGATATGTTTGCCTTTATTATTTATTGTACTACCAACAAAAATATTCCTACAAGAGTATTTTGGCAAGAAGGTCCATTATTATGGATACATTTATCTTATTCTCCTAACACTATTCTTACTAGGTATCCTGAGGCTGTAGGACAATTAATACTCAATGGAATAAAAGCAGCAAAGGGAGTGTTTGGAATTTCTCCCAATAAAATTATTACTCCATATACTATGGATCAAATTGATGAGTTAGCTAATGAGTTATATACTTGGGCAATAATCAAGTGCAAATCTAATGTTTCATTTGATAACCACTTACCATCTAATCCTTTGTTGTCTTTTTGGTCTTTGCATCCTGTAGTTTTTCCAAAAATGACAAGAAAAACACCTATCATGAATGCTCCAAATATATTCACTGATGGGTCAAATAATGGTACAGCAGCAGTAGTTACCCCTGATCAAACTTTTACATTTTTAGTACCCAAAAAATCAGCTCAAAAGGTAGCACTTAATGCAGTATTACAGGCTTTTGTGATGTTTAAAGATTCTGTATTTAATTTATTTTCCAATAGTCAGTACATAGTTAATGCTATAGTATCCCTTGAAGATGCTGGTAGGATTTCCCCTTCCTCTACTGTTTTCTCTTTGTTTTCCATTATACAAAGTCTAATCTTGGACAGAAAAGATCCATTCTTTATAGGACATATCAGGGCACATACAGGATTGTCTGGAGCCCTTAGTTTGGGCAATGATTTAGCAGATAAAACTACACATGACATACATATTTTCTCTACACTAGAAGGAGCTACAAATTTTCATAAAAAGTTCCATGTCAATGCTAATACTTTACAAAAGTGTTTTAAAATAACTAAGGAACAAGCTAGATAAATAATAAAACAATGTCAAAATTGTGTGACCTTTTTACCACAAGTTAAACTTGGAGTCAATCCTTGAGGACTAATACCTAACCATATTTGACAGATGGATGTCACACACTTGCCAGAATTTGGAAAATTAAAATATTTTCATGTTACAGTTGATACTTCTTCTGGATTTTTGATGGGCTCCCTTCATGCTGGAGAAAAAACTAAAGATATTATAGCTCATTGCTTACAAAATTTTGCCACTGTGGGCATTCCAAAACAGTTAAAAACAGATAATGCCCCTGGTTATACTTCTACCTCTTTTAAACAATTTTGCTCATCATTTGGCATTACTCATATAACAGGAATCCCATACAATCCACAGGGACAAGGCATAGTTGAAAGAGCTCATCAAATTATTAAAAATGTACTTATTAAAGCAAAAAGAGGGAATTGGGAAGGGGTATATATTTCCCAAAGATAAAAAATAACCCTTTTTACTCTAAACTTTTTAAATTTGGATTCATCAGGGCTTAGTGCTGCTGAAAGGCATATGTGTCCAAAAAATGTACATAAGCCCAAGGTACTTTGGAAGGATATTCTAACAGGACAATGGAAAGGTCCTGACCCAGTAATTGTCTGGAGTCGGGGGTCTGTTTATGTGTTTCCACAGGGAGAACAGCAGCCTATTTGGATTCCAGAGAGATTAACTAAGGTCCTGACCCAGTGATTGTCTGGAGTCGGGGGTCTGTTTGTGTGTTTCTACAGGGAGAACAGCAGCCGATTTGGATTCCAGAGAGATTAACTAAAGCAATTTCTACAGACCAAAAAGAAGATGATTTGTCTAAAATCCATAACAGCTGATATCCAGAACTCCAGTTTGGCTATCCTTACATCTATGACAGAACCAGGATGCTTTTTTCAATATCTATTTTATTATTGCCCTTTCCCACATCATGAAGTTCTATTTTGTTTTTTGAGCTCATACAGACCTAGGTTAATGTTTTGCTGATCAGTTCTATTTTTTGACTATGGAGTTTTTAAACATTGCAATGGAGATTTCACCTGTAAAAAGTTACAAGGCCTTTACTATTATGTTATGTGTTGTATGTATTATATTATGTGTGCACACTTGTGTTTTGTGTTGTATGTTTGTATGTGCATATATCCAAATATCATGTATGATGAGCGCTCATGAAAAAATGGATCCAAATTTTTTTTTCTTATTCACATGATTTAAATGGTTTAATTTAAATTGGGTAAACAGCTGTTGAGGATTGTTTTAATATGTGAACAAAAAAGGAGGTTAACAGATCTGTTTGTTTACTTTCACCTTTCCTTTTCATTATATTTAATAATTCTGTTCAGGATAATGTAAATTGTTCAGAAAATTGTTTTATTTTAGTGCCTGCTGGAATGTTACATAATTTTTTCTTTAGCCATTATTGCCAGAATTCCTATCTTCATCCCAGTGCCGGTGAAGACAAAGATGATAGCTATCACTGAACTGCTTGCAGAACTTGCCTCGACTATGTATTACTTGTATGCATTGTGAACTATCTGTTGGTGCAGCGATTTGTGGTAGTGCTGGGATATTTTTGCTGATGGTGTCATCAATGGTACAATTTTTCCAAAAGGAGCCATCAATTGGCTTGATGTATCCTCCTTCCTTCTGCTTGTGATGGTCGTTCAGCTAAAATTTGGGGGGCAACAGAGGTGAGGCAAAGAACCTCACCCCCCCCCCCCACTGGTACAAAGGACTATCCACAGGTGTGGCTGTATGCTGGACTGGTAGTCAATGATGGGTAAGATCCAATTGCAATGGTACCAACCTAAGACAGGAGGCTGACGCCTTGAGGTCAGCTCATCTGATGACGGGTAAGGACCATATGTAGTATTGGACAACCTAAGGAAGGCACAGTCCCTAAGCCACAGGCTTGTTGTTTAAACAGAGAGGGGGAGATGATCAGAGTCACAGCCTAAGGGGCCCCATCAAACTTCCAGCTGATTGGCTCACAGCGGCCCCAGCAAACTTCCAGCTGCCAGCTGATTGGCTCCTCTGTGGTGATGCTCATTGGGCTGTTTCCCCGCCCTTTCAGACCATGGAGCTGCTCATTGGGGGACTCTTTTGGCTCCGCCCATGTGACCCAGCCAATCAGCCTCAAGAGCAGGAGGAATGGGGGGTTGAGAGGCTCGCCAGAAGCCAGTGGTGGCAGCTGGGCTCTGAGGGAATTCCTGAAGAGCTCGTGTGGTGTGGCGTGTGTGTTGTAAAAATAAAGTTCGTTTCTGCTTGATAAGTGGCTCGTGAATTGTGCCCAGCCAGACTGCGGCACTCTGGGTCTCCATCAGCAGCACCCCTGTCTCTGTTTCCACCATGGAAAGGGTGAAAGGGCTGTAGGATTTGAGGACAGAATCTGTGAGTGAAGCTCAGTGCCCCCTCCTCTCAAGCCCAACTAATCCTGAAAGAGTAGGGGCCTCACATAGAGGGCAGCACCTAGTACTGCCAGGTCTGGGCATGGGGCTCACTCACACACAGTACATCACCCCCTTAGTTCACAGATCTCCTCTGCTGCAGAGGCAGGTGCTCACCCAGCAGGGCCTACCTCACTTGCAGCTCAGCATCCCTTCCCCCCAACCCTGAGCTAGTAAGCTCTAACTGGAGAGCCCACCAGGAAGCCCAGGGGCACCAGCAGACACACCCAGCATGGAAAAGCATATCTGGCACATGATCTGCTGCTCACCTGACCCTAGAGCAGCAAGTGCATAGGAGACTCAGAATCTTTGACCCTCTGCACCTGCCCAGGATCTCAATCTGCACTTTTCCCACCTTCTGCCCACCTATTATTCCTATCTCTGGGAATTCAGAGAGCCACTGCTTTCTGAGGTGGTCCTGGTCTTCCTGCCCCAATCTTAGCAGGAACTCACCCAGGCCACAGTCCTCACAGCCCACAGGTGTCTTCTTTTCAATGCAAACTAGGGGCTTTCCTGAGACCCTGTAGCCTGAGGCTGTCTGCCCACTTTGCACTCTGGGACTGCCACAGCCACAATCCAGGTATCCTACATGGGGCACTCATGTGACTTCTATAACATGAGCATTGGAGAACTATTATTCATATCCATGCAGCTGAAACTGCAAACATCCTTATAGAGACCCAACATTTAAAGCAGAAATATGCAGAAATGAGAAACTGACCTTCTGAACTCTTTTCATTAGCAATGCCCTAGTGACATTCCAGGCAACCATTTTTGCCTACAGGAAATCAACATTAATACTCCTCCCTGGGGCTGGGGTTATAGCTCATTTGGTAGAGTGCTTCCCTTGCATGCACAAGGCCCTGGGTTCAATCCCCAGCCCCCCATACACATACACACACACACATACACACACACACACATACACACAAATACTCCCTCTGTTTGCCCTACTGGAGAAGCCGAGGTAGAGAGAAAGAGCAAGCAGAAAGCTTATTTCCCTATTGGAGGAGTCACCTTCATTGGGTCCATGCTCTGGGGCAGTCTGCTCAGGCTTGAGAAGCCAAGAGACAGTGAATCAGGTTAAGGACGAGAAGCCACTTACTGCCCCCATGCCAGCTATACAGAAGGGGCAGAAACAAGAAGATTTGAGCTTCTGTCCACCCTCTACCCTGTCACTGTTCACGCATAACCTGAACTTCCTGTTTTCTTTTCCTGTCCTCTCAAGCAACTTAATTATGGAGGAATCATTCTGACCATCCCTCACACCAAATTCACAGGACAGTGAGCATCTTGAGAAAAGAAAATAGCTCAGGATGGGGCTGAGGTTGTAGCTCAGTGGTAGAGCACTTGCCTTGCATGTGTGAAGCACTGGGTTAGATCCTCAGCATCACATAAAAATAAATATATTGGGTCTATCTATCTATCTATCTATCTATCTATCTATCTATCTATATGGCTCAGGGAGGGAGGACAAGGGAAAGCCAAAGAACACAGAACAAGGGGTCCAAAACACTGAACTCTAGGGACCATGACTCGAAGGACTGGACAGGAAAATCTCAGAAGCAGGGAAAAAAAAACAAAACAGTAACTGCAGCTGCCTCACAAAGGGCTAGTGTCTCTCCCTAGATGGTCAAGGACAACTGTTTTTCTATTCTCCCTATCACCTGCAAAGCCACTCCAAGAGGAGGAGCCATGTGATGGGAATAGAAGGGAGCCACATCCTAGGTGACCCAGAGGACACAATCAATGTGTGTCAGGGGAAAGCTCCTGAGGAGGGACTAGAGGAGCTGGACAGAGGACAGAAGATGACCAGCTGCACTGAAGACCCCCACACCTGCTCTACACAGGCCTCCCCAAGGCTGTGCAGGCTGGGCTCTGGCACTCCAGGCCTCATGGGTCTTTTTCTTGGTTTCTTCATGATGGCTGGAGTGTCTCGGGAGAGGTCATAGTCAGGAAGGGTCCAGAGGCATCACCTCCTGTGGGATTCCACTCCAGTTTCTAAGCCTCCCATCCCCAGATCATATATGTTGTTATGATTTAAATATGAGGGATCCCCAAAAAGATCATGTGGTAAATAACACTAGAACATTCAGAGGTAAAATGACTGGCTCATAAGAGCCTTAAAATAATCAGTGCATTAATCCACTGATAGGAATTAACTGGGTGGTAACTGTGGGCAGGTGGAGTGTGGGTGGAGGAAGAAGGTCCCTAGGGGTGAATATTTTTGTCCCTGGTGAAGGGAAAGCTCTCTCTGCTTCCTGTTGGCTGTGTCCTAAGCTGCTTTTCTTCTCCACACCCTTCTTCCATTATGTTCTGCCTCATCTCAGGCCCAGAGCAACAGAGTCAGCCATCTATGGGCTGAAACCTCTGAAACCATGAGCTCCAGATAAATTTTCCTCCTCTAAAATTATTCTTGCCAGGTCTTTCGGTAACAGCTATGGGAAAACTGACTAAACAGATGCTTTTACTATGAGTTTCCCCAAGGCTATGATCCCCCAGATTGCAGATGTTTTTAATGTGCATTCCCCTGAGACCATGATAATCTAGCCCACACTAATCAGCCCACCATTCCCAACACAGACCCTGGTCAAACCTGTGGAGCCTGAGAGAGGAGCAGAAGCCACAGCCCCTGCAGCCAGAAGATCTGCAGCTAGAACTTCAAGGGAATTCCCTACCCTGGCTTTTGGCAGGGCTAAGGGGAGTAGCTGGAGACATGGCTCCCATCACCCACACACAGACATCCATCCCCCTCTATTCCAGAAATCTGGTCACCTCCACTGCTCTCTGTGCAATAAGAGGCATGAAGGATGCTACAGCCAAGACAGGTCCTGCAATCTCCAGCCAGTGACCACTTTTCTCACCTGAACCCTCTGTAGCTGATGTTGTTCTCCTCTCCTTGCACCAAAGGGAGCCAAATGAAGAAGAACGCAGCACTAACAACAGCAGCCAGAATGGCAGGCCATCGGCTCCGAAGCAGCAGTGCAGTCCCTGAAAGCAGGCTTGTTACACTCTGGTACTGGAGCTCAAGGCTTCCCCCCTCTTACCACCCTGGTCACTGACTCACCTTGCTGGGAACCTCTTCTGGGACTCCCAGGCTCACCACAAGACACAGTGCCAGTAATGTGATTCCCGCTGTGTCCCATGTGGCAGTTGAACCTCTGCTCCTGTCCTTGGGGAATCCTGGTGGACACCCAGGTCTGGTAGGTTCCATTCCCATAGGACAGGATACTCCCAGACTTCTGTATGTCCTGGCTCAGGGGTTCCCCATCCTGAAGCCAGGTCCGAGAGATATTCTGGGGATAGAAGCCCAAAGCCCAACAGGTCACAAAGATGGTGTCTTCCAAGACCTCATCACAGGTTACATTCACTGTTGGGGACACTGGAGAAGAAAAAGCAGAAAAAGCAGAACAAGTTAGGGATGTTTTCAAACCTCTCTCCCCTCTAATAAAGGAAGAGAGAACAGGGCTAGTTCTCTCCACTCTTCTTCTGTCTATGGCCAAAGTCCTCATTGACTCCTGACCTTCTAAAAGTCTATTCTCAGTCTGGGGCCTCAATCCTTTGACTGGCAGGAAGATAGGCCTTGGCTTGTGGCCTCACATTCTCTCTCCCAAATGTTCACACTGAAGAAGGGGTGCTGGGGGTTCTCCTGGGTCATGGGTCCAAGAGGGAGCTCTACATGATAAACAGGCTGGTAGGCAGACAGGTAGGTGAGGATTCCACTCCTGCCTAAACCCCTGCTGCCTAAGGTTCAGGTTGCTTCCTGCTCATGGCCCAGATAGTTCATTTGCTGCCAAACCCTCCTGTCTTTATCCAGAAGCTTATCAGGACAGGGAAATCAGACTACAACACACTCACAGGGAACACACGTATCCCATAGTACAAAGAGTCCCCTGGAGCTTCGGGAATGGGGGGTACCTGTAGTTTCATTGAAGGCTATCCAGGAGTTCAGATATCTTCGGAGTCTTCCACAAACTGTTCCCTGCACATGGGCCCATTGAGCCTTGCTTTGAATGCCGTCTTCATCCCAGGAATTCTTGACTTTCATAGCCACAATCTGAGCTGAGGATGGCTGTACCGTCCAGCTGCGCATCTCTGGGTGATAGGAGAGGAAGGGCTCCCCATCGTAGTAGAAATTCCAGAAACCCCTGGTGCGGTTGGTCCTCTCGGATTTCACAGCCCCAACTCTCCTGGAGGGAATGAGACCCTGTCCTGGCCCAGTAGTCACTTCTCCATCCCCTGGTTACTCTGCCTTCCCTGCCCAAGTATGAAACTTCAGCCCTCAGGGGACCCCTTCCTGGCTCCCCTCGAAGTACTACTGTGCTGAGCTTCATGGAGAACACTGCTTGCCTCCCCAACCAAATGCAGTTCAAATAGATTAAAATGAACAGACAGGAAAGTTGGGCTCTTCAGGCGCAAGTCTCTGTGCAGGAGGGCTGAGAAATTATAAGACACAAGCCAGGCCTCACCAAGGTCAGGCCAACTCCTGTTTAAGCAGAGAGGAAAAATAAAATAAAAGAAAGAAAGAACTAGCTGATAGTGAGAGATCTATTTCCTGGTACCCAGACCCCCACCAAGAAAGGCACAGTAATCTGATTGGGCCAAAGAGTTCATGAAAAGCTTGTGGACACTGAGTTTCTTATCCAGGACTGGGTAGGGGGCTAGCTCTCTTAACCCCGCAGAGGCATATAAACCCCTAGATAATAATCATTCTTGGGTATCCCACTCTTGGGATTCCTCCTATTTGGGAGCTCCACTTTCTTTCTATGACACTAATAAATTCTGTTACTTTGCTCTCACTCTTGTGTCTGAGGATTTCATTCTTCAAATTTGCAAAACAAAGAAACCAATCCCATGCTCTATGCTACAAAAAGGGACAGATCCCTGCTCTCTGTTCTCATCCTCATATCACCCTTGCCCCTGCCCACACTCACCTCCTTTCTTCTCTTTCAGGAAGTTGATATCTGCTAGGGTCACCCTAAGATTCTTGTCACTCTCTGCCAAGTCCTGGGTCTCTGTGTCCCAAGTCTCTGGTCCCAGGACTGTTTCTGCCCACAGTGCACAGGGCACTACGCTGCCTTTCTCACTGTCATAGCACAGGAAGGGCTGATCATCCAAGCGACCCTGAACAAAGAACCTTGAGAGCACAGATCCACCTTGACATCTCACTGTGAGGTTATAATGAAGACTGTGGGCTCCTGGGAAAGAAACAACAATGAATGACACTTCTTCCTGGAAATGACTGCACCATCCATGTTCAACCCAAAGCTTCTGCTCTCCTGACCACCCTGCGGATTCAGAAAATGCACATAGACAGCTGGACCTGGTGATGCCCACCTGTAATCCCAGCGATTCAGGAGGCTGAGGCAGGAGGATCACAAATTCAAAGTCAGTCTCAGCAATTTAGTGAGTCTTGGTCTCAACATAAAAAAATAAAAAGGGCTAGGGATGTAGCTCAGGGGTAAAGCACTCCTGGGTTTAATCCCCAGGACCAAAAAGAAAAGAAAGAAAGAAAATGCACATGGACAAAAACCAAGAAGAAGAATTTCTTTTTTTTTTCCTGCGGACACAACATCTTTGTTTGTATGTGGTGCTGAGGATCGAACCCGGGCCACATGCATGCCAGGCAAGTGCGCTACCGCTTGAGCCACATCCCCAGCCCCAAGAATTTCTAATACAACAAAAATAGGACACTAGAGAGGAAGGAGAGAAAAGTGAGGGGTGAAGGGAGGGGAAATGGAGATGGGTAGGCATGTAGGCCAGGGCTCAAGGCCAGGACACAGGCTCCCTAAGAGTACATGTGGGAATCCAGGGCAGAGGCTGGCCTGCAGGGGAAAGGCAGGAGTAGGAGAGCCAGAGGTGCAGAGCAGAGCTTGCCAGAGGCCAGCGAGGGCCCAGGAGGAACCCAGCATGGAAGGACTCATGGCCAGAGGACTGCAGAGCTCAGGCAGTTGCACAGGAGATGAGAGGAGATTCTGCTTCTGTGCAGGCCCCTCATGGACAAGGTAGAGCTGGAGGGGCCAGAGGAGCTGGAGTTAGTAACCAGAAAGGAGTCTAGAGTAGGATTGTTACCCTACAGAGAAGTGAAAGGTAGACTGAGTCTAAAAGCAAGAGTGGCATAATGGGGCCGCAGGTAGGGAGGTAACTGATCCCATTATCGTCCCCTGAGGAAGGCAGGCAGCAGTGTTCCCAAAGAACCCTGATATTTTTTCCAACAAAAGGGGGCTGGGAAAACTAAATTGTTACAGGCAAACAAAGGAAATTGGACCTTCTACTAAAACCATACAAAAATATTAACTCAGGGCTGGGATGTAGCTCAGTGGTAGACTGCTTGCCTAGCATGCACAAAGACAAAGTCCTGGGTTCCATCTCCAGCACTGAAAAAGGAAAAAAGAAAGGCCAAAAGCCAAGCATGGTGGCACACATCTGTGATTCTAGTTATTTGGGAAGCTGAGGTAAGAGGATCACAAGTTTGAGGGCAGCCTCAGCAATTAATTTAGTTAGACCCTGTCTCAAAATATAAAATAAAAAAAGGGCTGGGGATATAGCTCAATGGTAAAGAGACCTGGTTTCTATCCCCAGTACCACCACCACCACCGTCAGCACACACACACACACACACACACACACATAAAGAAAGAAAAAGTTTAATGCAATGTGACTCTAAAACCTAAACTTAAAAACTAAAACTAAAAATTCTTAGAAGAAAACATTGGGAATAATCTCCATGACTTAGAGTTCGACCATGCTTTCATAGATAGAAAAATGCACAGACTACAAACAAAAAAAATTGATAAATTGGACTCACCAAAATTAAATATGTCTGTACACAAAGAGGACTCATGCCCAGGTGCAGTGGCACACACCTGTAATCCCAGTGGCTCTCGAGACTGAGACAGGAGGATAGCAACTTCAAAGCCAGCCTTAGCAAAAGTGAGGCCTAAGCAACTCAGTGAGATCCTGTCTCTAAATAAAATACAAAATAGGGCTGGGGATGTGGCTCAGTGATTGACCAGTCCTGAGTTCAATCCCCGGTACCCCCAAAAAAAAACAAGACCCACGAAAAAATGTTCTATTGGGCATGGCTGTAATCCCAGCTACTTGGGAGGCTGAGGCAGGAGGATTGCAGGTTGGACATAAGCCTCAGCAACTTAGTGAGACCCTGTCTTAAAATAAAATTTAAAAAAGCATCGAGGATATAACTCAGTTGTAGTGTCCCTGGGTTCAACCTCCAGCACCATACACACACAAAAAGCACCCCCCATGGAAATGGTAACCCCTAAAATGGGAAAAACTGTGGCAAATCACGTGTCTAATGAGAAACTAATGTCCAGAATATACAAAGATCTGGGGGTGTAGCTTGGTGGTAGAGTGTGTGCTTATCAAGCACAAGACCCCAGGTTCAATTCCCAACACAAACAAACAAACAACAACAATAACAAAATCCCAGGAGGAAGATGCTGCTGAGAGAGGCGTTACTAGAAGAATACCAGGACTAACTAAGTGGTGAAAACAAGGATTGGGATACGTGGTGTCGAGAACAAGAGCCCTTGAGGTCAAGCAACGAAAAGAGGAGAAACAAGGTCAAGGAGCGGTGGATCAGGAAACTTTTTCTGGGCTGGGTGGGGAGGGGAGATGGGAGGACAAGAGAGATAAGTGGACAGAGCAAGGATAGGCATGGGGTACAGGTGACTCTGAGAGAAGTTGGGTGGTGGTGACAACAAGGGGGTGCCCTGGATGAAGGCAGATGAGGGTGGCTGTTGTGATTGTAAGGGTCCCTCAAGAGGGGGCTTGTGACAGATACAAGTTGGTGAGGGTCCATAACAGGTAGGCAGGGGTTGGGAACAGAGAAAGTTCCCGCAGTGGAGAGATGCAGAGGGACAGACACTGTCCAGCACCTGCAGGCTGCAGTGTGGAGGGCTCTCAAGGGTGACATTTAGGCCATTGAGAGCGAGGGCCAAGAGCAGATGCCAGCACTGGAGGGGGAAGGAGGGTGCCATGCTGACAATAGCAGGGAGGTCACGGTGCCCTGCACTGTGCCAGTGGCTGTCAGCATTAGGGCCCCTGCAATGGGGACGAAGAGAAGACTGACTGGAGCTCAAGCTCCATCAGAAACTTAGGGCCATCTGGCTGGGAGTGCAGCTCAATGGTAGAGCGCTTTCCTAGCATGTATGAGGCCCTGGGTTCCATCCAGCACCACAAAAGGAAAAGAAGGGGGGGAAAAGGGAAGGAAAGAATTATCACAATTTCAATGTTATTCCACACAGAACAATTTTTAAAAGTCCTAAAATTCATATGAAACCACAAAAGACCCCAAATAACCAAAGTAATCTTCATCAAAAAGAACAAAACTGGCTGGGTGCGGTGGCACATGCCTGTAATCCCAGTGGCTGAGGAAGCTGTGGCAGGAGGATCCTGAGTTCAAAGCCAGCCTCAGCAATTTAGCAAGGCCCTAAGCAACTTAGCGAGACCCTGTCTCAAAAAGGACAGAGAATGTGGCTCAGTGGTTGAGTGCCCCTGGGTTCAATCCCCAATACCAAAAAAGAAAAAGAACAAAACTGGAGGTGTCACAATACCAGATTTAAAAATAGGTTACAAATCATCCAGGCATGGTGGTGCATGCCCATAATCACAGTGGCTCAGGAGCCTAAGGCAGGAGAATAACAAGTTCAAAGCCAGTCTCAGAAACTTCTCCAGACCCTAAACAACTTAGTGAGGGCCTATCTCAAAATAAAAATAAAATTAGAAGGGTTAGGGATATTGCTCAGTGGCTAAGCACCTCTGGGTTCAATCCTCAGTACCAAAAAAAAAAAAAAAAATACAAGTGACCAACAGATATATGAATAAATGCAAATGCAAATTAAAACAAGATACTACTGCACACCTATTAGATTGGTTATTGTCAAAACATGAAAAATAATAAGTGTCAGCAAGAATGGGAGAAAAGAGATCACTATTGGTGGTGTAATTTAGTAAGTCATTTTGGAAAACAGTACAGGAGGTTCCTCAAAAAGCTAAAAACAGCTGGGCAGAGTGGTACACACCTGTAATCTCATAGATTTGAGAGGCTAAGGCAGGAGAATTGCAATTTCAAGGCCAACCTGGGCAACTTAGGGAGACCTTGTCATAAAATAAAAAATAAATAAATAAATAATAAATTTAAAAAGGAGGGGAGGGTAGGAATGTCATTCAGTAGTAGAGTACTCCTGGCTTCAATCCTCAGTACCCGTACTCTACACACACAAATCTAAAAACATAATTACTATATGATCCAGCAATCCCACTACTCCTACTACTGCATGTATACCCAAAGGAATTAAGATCAGCATTCATTGCAGCATTATTCACAATATTCAAAACATGGAAACAGTCTAAGTGTCCATCAACAGATGAATAGATTTTAAAACTTTGGCATTAACCAAGAATGGTGGCAGGCACCTGTAACCCCAGCTATGTAGGAGGTTGAGATGGGAAGATCACAAGAGCCCAGAATTTCAAGACCAGTCTAGGCAAAATGGTAGACTCTAGACTCAAAAGCAAACCAAAAAAAAGAAAAAGAAAACTGTGACATACACATACAATGGAATACTATTCAGCCTATAAAAACAGGTAATTGTCCCATAGGACAACATGGACGAACCTAGAGGAATTAAGTAAAATAAAACAGGCAAGGAAAGAAAAATGCTTTAACCTAAATGTAAAAGATAAAAAAGTTGAAACTCAGAAGAAGAAAGTACAATAGTGGTTAACAGAGGCTGGATTTGGAGTGTGAGAGTAAATAGAAAAGGAGAGACATTGATCAATGGGCACAAAGTTTGTTAGATAGGAGGAGTAAGTTCTGATGTTGTTTCTATTACACAGCAAGGTGACTCCATTTATAGGAAGGGCAACAGAATAGAATAGACATTATGATTGATGTATGTACATTCCATGTATGTATTATATGTCAAAATACATTCTGCTGTCATGTATGACTAAAAATAAAAATAAAAAAAAAAAAAAGAAAAAAAGAAGTGTGTTCTACTGAGCTACATCCCTAGCTATTTTTTATTATTTTATTTTTAAGACAGGGTACTACTTAGTTGCCTAGGCTGACCTCGAACTTGCCATCCTCCTTCCTCTGCCTCCCAAGTAGCTGGGATTAGAGGCCTGAGGCACAGTGCCCTGCTGGGAGAAAGGTTTAAAACTGGGAAGCTCACAGAAGCAAGAGGAAAATGTCCTTTACAATTCTGGTTTAAAGGCTGACCATGTGCTGCCTAGGGTGTACAAGGACCTAGGTCCAATTCCTAGCACCATCCATATGCACAAATGCTATGGGGACTTCTCCCTCTCCTCATTGCTTCCTTACTATAGGCTAAGGAGGGAGAGCTGGAACCCAGGAATGTCTGGTCAGAGAACAAGCTCATATTAGGGTAAAGGGGGTGCAAGAGGGGAGAAGACCCCCCTCCCCCCAGGCAGCAGGAGCCCAGGGGACAATGAGGGTGGAACTGAGAGAAATCACAAGAAGAATCTCTTGGCCCAGAAAGTCTTCAGCCTGCAATCTCCTGAGCGTTGGGTGAAGCCACAGTCCCCACAGCGGCTGTGGGGATGTCCCTACCAGCTCCTGGCAGGAAGAAAGGAAGACCTCCAACTCCAGGTACTGAGGACCCCAGTGACTTGGGGAGAACACAGGACTTCGGAAACCCCAACACGGGTGGGAAGCGATCGCCTTGAATATTGCTCAAGGGAGCAATCTGGGAGACAGCCCTGGGAGCTCCAAGCGTCAGGAGTAAAAAAAAAAAAAAAAAAGTGCAAAAACCAACCGCCGGGCAATGCAGCGCCGATCTAGGTCGCGGGACAAGGTGGCTGGGGGAAACCTTGAAAAGCGGAGTTGAGATTCTGTGGCAAAGTGGCTGCGTCCAGTCCCGCACCACACCCCTCCTCCACCCAGGGATCGTGCACCTGAGTGCGTCAGTCAGTCCCGGGGACGCTCAGCTCTCGCTGGAACCAGCCCGCAGCCCTGGAATCTCACAGTTCTGAAGGTCCACAAGGAGCCTACTCACCAACTGCGGCACTCACGGGAGCACAGAGGACAACCAAGGCGGGGAGCAGCCGGACACCGCTGAGCCCCATACTGCGCGAGTCTGCCACCCCTTCAGCAAACCTGACCAGTGGCGAAAAACTCAAAGTGCTCGGAAAACCGCATGAGCAGAGCCTGTGGTTGAGTGAAGGAACACTGACCTCACTCTGTCACTCTGTTGCTTAAGTAGCAGCTGCGCGGGGAGGAGTCACAGGAAGGATTGTGTCTGGAGGAGTGTTCCGGAAGTGTGAGACTTTCCCTCCCATGTTCGCATTTTCTTTTTAAAGATTTTTTTTTTTTTTTTCTGAGAGAGAGAGAAATTTTTTAATATTTATTTTTTAATTTTTCGGTGGACACTACATCTTTGTTTTATTTTTATCTAGTGCTGAGGATCCAACCCAGCACCCCGCGCATGCCTTTCCAGCTCCTCCCAGGTTAATCATTCATCAGTAGAAGCTGTGATCTCAAAACCCAGAGATCCACATTCCTGTTTCAGAACAAAATTGGCAATGCAGTCAATTCCCCTAACCTGAAGGACCTTTTTTAAGGGAATGATGGAAGGGGTTGTCTTTGGGAATGATTTAGAGTAAGAACAAGTGGATAATGAAGAAGAATTTGAATTTTAAATTATTTTGAATTTTCAGTAGAGCCCAAAATATGGTAGTGAGGAAGATTATTCTAATGCCACTTCAGGCTCAATGTGAGTCAACTGGTGCTGTAGCTGTAGGAGCATCCAGCTCCAAAACTAACCTCCTTGACATGCAGGATTTGATGCTCTACTCAGGATTTGATGCACTACCACACGAGATGAAAGAGATTCAGGAAACCCAGGCTAGACTACCATCCCCCAGTGAAGCACAAGCCACTCCAAGATCAAAACCTGTGTTCATTTCATCTTTGTCTCCCCTACAAATGACTTTTTAAAGTTAAACTAGCTGGGTGCAGAGGTGGATGCCTGTAATCCTAGCTCCTCAAAAGACAGGTAGGAGGACCACTACTAAATTGAGGCCAGCCTGGGCAAATTAGCAATACCTTTTCTCAAAAAAAAAAAAAAAGGGGGGGGGGGCTCAGTGCAGTGGCACACACCTGTAATCCCAGAAACTCTGAAGGCTGAGACAGAAGGATCACAAGTTCAAAGCCAGTCTCAGCAACTTAGCAAGGACCTAAGCAACTTACAAGACCTTATCTTAAAATAAAAAGTAAAAAGGACTGGGGATGTAGCTCAGTGGCTAAGGACCCCTGGGTTCAATCCTCAGTACCAAAAACCAAACAAGGACTGGGGATAATTGCTCAGTTGGCAGAGTGCTTGTTTTGCATGCACAAGGCCCTGGATTCAATCCCCAGCACCACAAAAAACAAAAAAATAAAAAGGGCTCAGGATGTATCCTAGTGGTAGTACACTTAGTGGTAGTAGGTACAGTACTTACAGTAGGTTCAATTCCCAGGAAACAAAGGAAGGAAGGAAGGAAGAGCTATACTCATAATTACTAACCGTTCTTTAAGACTTCTAGCCTATATTTTTTCCTCTGGGTGGAAATGTTAAAATCACAAAGTTCTGGACTGGGGTTGTGGCTCAGTGATAGAGCACTCACCTAGAACATGTGAGGACCTGGGTTCGATTCTCAGCACCACATATAAATAAATAAAAGAAACATATTATGTCCACCTACAACTAAAAAATAAATATTAAAAAAAAATCACTAGAGCTTCCAATCACTCCTGCAAGGTAGGTGGGCCTGTGACCCATCAGCAGAAGAGGAGCAGCGGCCTGCTGAGAGGCAGAGCCGCCCCCTCCCCCTGCGCCAGCAAGGTAGACAGAACTGTGACCACCCATAGAATAGGCCCAGCGGCCTGCTGAGGGGCAGAGCCGCCCCCCACCCCCCGCGCCTGCCAGGTAGGCGGAACTGTGACCACCGACAGAAAAGGCCCAGTGGCCCGCGGCGGGACAGAGCTTCCAATCACTCCTGCAAGGTAGGCGTGCCTGCGACCCACCGGCAGAAGAGGAGCAGCGGCCTGCTGAGAGGCAGAGCCGCCCCCTCCCCCCGCGCCTGCAAGGTAGACGGAACTGTGACCACCATCAGAACAGGCCAGAACTGCAACCGACAGACAGAACAGGCCCAGTGGACTGAGGAAGGGTAGAGTCGCCCCGCCCCCCGCGCCTGCAAGGTAGGCGGACCTGCGACCCACTGGCAGAACAGCCCCAGAGGCCTGCAGAGGGGCAGTGCCGCTGCCTGCACCTGCAAAGTAGGCAGAACTGCGACCACCGACAGAACAAGCCTAGCGGCGGGCAGAGGGACAGAGCCGCCGCCCGCGCCTGCAAGGTAGGCGGACTTGCTACCGACCGGCAGAGCAGGCCCAGTGGTCTGCCTGCGTGGTAGGCACATTGCCCCAATTGGAGGAGGGGCAAAGCCGCCGCCCGTGCCTGCGAGGGAGACTTTGCAACTATACAAGACCAATATAAATATATAGGGGGAAAATTCAATAGCACAACAGTTTCACCAAGTAGAAAGGAACGCGAACAGTATGAAGAGACAAGGAAAGAAAGGACCACAAGCAATGCAGGTCAACTCAACGTTAGAAGAGGTAATAGCTGCAGCAGATGGAATGTCAGATAAAGAATTCAGGATATACATGCTTCAGATGATCTGGAGTCTCAAGTAAGACATCAGACAGCAAAATCAGACAATGAAAGATCACTTCAACAATGAATTACATAAACAAATCCAAGAAGCAAAAGATCAACTATACAGGGAGATAGAGGTTATAAAAAACAAACAAACAGAAATCCTAGAAATGCAGGAAGCAATAAACCAACTTAAAAACTCAATTGAGAATACTACCAGCAGAGTAGAACACTTAGAAGATAGAACATCAGACAATGAAGATAAAGTATTTCAACTTGAAAAGAACATAGACAGCTCAGCAAGACTGTTAAGAAACCATGAGCAGAACATCCAAGAAATATGGGATAACATCAAGAGACCAAATTTAAGAGTCATTGGGATACAGGAAGGGACAGAGTTTCAAACCAAAGGAATGAGCAATCTATTCAATGAAATAATACGAGAAAACTTCCCAGACTTGAAGAATGAGACAGAA